AATAAAAAGTCAATTACCAAACACTTTTTTTGGCTATTTGATTACATAAAAAGCCAAAAGCCAAAAGTTAACATAAAAAAGCCACCAATAAGCCATTTACCAAACATGGCCTATGTCTTGGACTGAATAAACTCCCTAATTTATGAGAGAAAATGAAAAGTGTTTATTTATTTTTACAAAAACATACTAGTACACATTTTACAATTCTTTTTAATTGGCTGTCAAAAAAAAAAAATATCAATATGTTTTGTATTCTACTATTCTTGTATAGATCCTATAACTTTTGATAAAGAAATTATTCATGCATTGATATAAGATTATTAATTATTAATCTTGTCTTTCAAAAAAATAAGATCATCAATAATTAATAATTTAATATCTACATCAATCACATCATCCTAACTTGTTCGTATGATTTTGATTATTCATATACAGTACTTTACAGAAAAACGAAACTTTAAAAAGTCATAACTCAAAAGTCAACAAAATAGCATGTTCAAAAACATTTTACTCGAATAAAGAAAAGAAAAAAAAAAAGAAAAAGAAAAAAAAAAAGAATTATATTAGTACTTAGGTTTACTGTACTAGTAACTACGAGTTGCTGTAAGCTCTAGACGTTAACAATAGAATATTAATCAATACGTACAACGTAATACTCCGTACATAATAACTACTTATTATAAATTTAATTATATTTATAATCTATGCTTTTTTGTATATTACTCCGTAGTTGTTTAGACCTTCATCAAGGTTGGTACATGCATGCTTCTTGATGTGATATTGTGGTCCAAAAGTAAATTAAATCTACAACTGTAATACTAATGGATCCAGAAATGAAGTATATAGTTAATAGTATACTACGTATAATACAGTTTTTAGCCGTTAAACATTGTTTATTACAACTTGGTTGGTTAGTTGTTGCCAACAATCACCTATCTATCCCACTCAATATAATTATTACTTAGTACAACTAATGCTGAAGTACTTAAGAGTTAATATTTCGACATAAACCTTTATATATATAACATATTAATATGATATGCAAATACTACATTCTTTTTAGGATACGTAGGCCTACAAAATCCTTATTAAATTACTATCAAAATTAAAGCTAAAATTCTTAGACTTCCACCATTATTGGGTACTTTATCCATCTAATAATATAGTGTCTACTTTCTATTGGTATCATGCAAATATTATACGGAGTAATACTCCATGTGATCAATCCTTCAAATTAGGTCATATTTGATCTCTTCAAGTCAAATTTACTTTATCTTGCTAAACTTAAGTTAATTTTACTGATTAAAACTTATTTTCATTTATGTAATATTACTTGTTCTTTAAAGATATAATTAAATAATTTTTAATTGATAAAAATCTACTACGATTATTTTTTCATATCAATCAAAAAACTTACATCACCGTATTATATAATCTTAATTAATATGCGTGTTAAAGCCTATAAGGACAGTGATTTGAGGATGGGAGATTATTTTTTTAATTAAAGGAAAAGATCAACTCTGATATTGACCTGTAACTATAGAGGTTAGTGGATCACATTCAAGTATACTCGACTTGTTCACACTTTCTTGTTTGACTGGACTAATTTAACTTTGTTGATTAATTAAATAAGAAGCTAAGCTCTTCACCAAATAAAAAAGAAGCTAATAAGCTAGGCTAAGACGACATTGGATAACATGTACTAGTGTACTGCGCTATACCCGTAACATGTACTCGTAGTGTTCAATAAGATAACATTTTTAATGTACACTTAATAATAATTTATTTATTTATTTATTTGTTGATTAATTATTATCACTATCTTAGAAGTTTGAACCAAACCAACCAAAAGAGGTTGGATCATATAATAATTTAAAGATATGCATAGTGGATAACTAGATATAGAATACTCCACAAATAAAGTGTCATTAATTCATATATTAGGTTATAAATTTATTATTAATTAACTCCCTTTGGTTTTTTTTTTTTTTTTTTGTTTTTTTTTGTTTTTGGGTATTTTTTTTCAATTCCCTCTGTCAATTATGCACTATGGCTACAAATTACAAATTCACAATATGACCAAGCTTATTTAAATTAAATGTCCAACCTAATCAAACAAATTTATGCTTCCTTTGTTTTAAGAAACTTATAACACTTCGACTAGTATGATTGCTAATATGCAACTTTAACCAAACTAATAATTCAACAACATTATTTTATAGAATGGTTGTTAATAGGGTTGTTCAGAGTGCGGTCTAGACCGCACCAAACCGTAATTTTGCGGCTTGTGGTTTGAAAATTGCAGTGCGGTTTCCGAAAATGACCAAACCGCACTTTTGCGGTTTGGTGCGGTTTCCGAAATATTTTAAACCAAATCGCACCGCAAACCGCACTCTGATGCGGTATGCGGTTTAGACCGTCAAACCGCAAACCGTTATACATACCAACTTTATACTATTTCTATTTAAAAATATATATAAAATAGCTTAAAAATATGATGTAATTTTTTACTATTGGCCAATTAAAAGTTAAAAAAAGAGTTTAATATTTAAATTTTAAATTAATAATCACAAAATAAAATAAAAAGTCTTTTTTTAAAAAAATATTTATAATTTTTTAAAAAATATGGTTAAACCGTAAACCGCACCGCACCGCACCAAACCGCATTTTGCGGTGCGGTTTGGAAAAAAATCTCAAACCACACCGCGAACACCCCTAGTTGCTAATGTGCAACTTTAATTAAACTAATAATTTAGCAACATTATTTATAACATTTGTTTTCAATTTGTTGTAAAAATGTGTTGTCAATTCAAGTGAGGGCTTGTTATGCTCACCTTATTTTCACATACTTTGGGTCTAATAAGCTCAGATAAGTTTAAATAAGTAAAATCATGTGAATAGAACACACCCTTAGTATATAAATAGTGCAAAATAATAGTAATTATTAACTTTTACTTGATAAAAGAACCTTTAATAAGATTATCACTACATACATGTTGAAGAGAGTTTGATGAACTTTTTTATAATAATAAATTAATAATGTATCAATTAGTAATTTGGTTAAGGTAGATTACACATTGTTTCTAATACCCATGGGATCGGATGAATGAACCATACATTAATTATATTATAAAATAATAATTAATACATGAAGTATATAAGATTTTTTTTGTGCACACGAAGTATATAAGATGAATACGAAGTGTGTGTGAAGTATGAGTGAAACTTATAAATTAATCCAAAGATAATACGGAGTAATAATAATTAAACATCGCACTTTTATTGTTCATAAGAATTGAGCCGCACCATGTAATGTTATAGCTCAACTTTGATGCTAACTTAGAATATTAATTATCTTCCATGTATCTTATCAACTAGCTAGGTCAAATAAATAATTCAACAGTCACCAGGTCAATTTAATATACACTAATTGATTAGTTATCTGTACATGCATGATGATTTATAAACTTGCAACTTGCATTGTTGAAACTCTTTTCTAGCTATTCCCTCTATTTTGCTTTAAGTGTTACACTTACAGTACAAATAAATAAACTGCCAACTAATCTGATGTATAATTAAGAATAAAACATGAATATTGAAATTAAAAGAGCATTGAGATAACTCTCTCCAAATGAAAATCTATAAGTTAAATGTGGTTGAACTAAGTCATTCTTGAAAATTTTGACTAGCATAGATTTGGGTATCGTCTATAAAGGAATCAAAGCCAGGTTTGAAGCTTCTTTACCTATGAAAGTCTAAAGGAGTTTTTGCTTTTATTTTTTTTAAAGGAAAACCATTATTAGCAATGGTTTGATTTCGTTTGCTAACCAAGGTTGTCAGAATCGGGATCCCACATTGGATTGGCGAGGGGAGTAGGATTGAATTGATAAAATCGGGTTGTAAAATCGTAAGATCCTACGAAATTGATAAAAGGAGTAATAAAAAGGTTGCTATATAACTAGATACACATTCTGCTTAGAGAAAAGTTTGATTGCTTTAGGCTCATTTTAATGAGTAAAAAGTAGGATTGTACGATCTTGACCGATCCTACGCAATTCTGACCGGTTCCACACGATTCTATCCGATCCTGTCAATCTAATAATAATAGAAGTGAAAAACAGGATCGTCCGATCCTGTACGATATTGTACGATCCTACACGATCCTACCTGATCCTGTACGATCCTGAATAATCCTATAGTGATCCTGCTTGCTCTGCGATTCTGCATCCGATTCGAATCATTTGGCTAAAATTAGAGATCGTATGCGATCCTACGATTCGGATCGCGATTCTACCAACAATGTTGCTAACTATAAGTGATGAACAAATATTCAACAAAGTGGTAATAAAATCCGATTTAATCATTCCAACCAATTTATGTCTTATAAAACAAATCTTCCTTAGTGATCCATTTGATACTATGAGCATATTCTTCTAGATATTTTGTTATATAACAATTAACAAATAGTCTAAAATCTACATAGTATTTCTTTACTCACATTTCCAAATATGTAAATGAACGACATATTTGATACGAAGTAATTAAGTAGCAACTCATAAAACACATCAAAAGAATCCATTTCAATGGAGACACAAAATTAACATGGATCTATGGCTCCGATTTTCATTTCATCACTTCATTTAATACACAAGGAGAATAGCGTTAATGAATTGAAATATCTCACAGGTTCTCCTGATCCGGATTAGTAGACTAGACACTTTATAAGTAGGCAAAATGCCTTTAAGACTCTAACCACAATCTCTTAGCCTAGTTGTGAGATGCAAACTTTTCTACTAAATTAATCATATACATATACATTCATTTCCATTTAAAAAGAAACTTCCATTAAAAAAAAAAAAAAGTTTCGAGTATATCCTAGAAGTTAGGTCACCATGAAGTAGGTAAGGCCCGTAAGGGTAAGGTTAAGGGCATGGGTAGGTATTTTTGTAATGAAAAGTAACAAAAAGGGTCAAACACATGAAAATTAAAATTAAATAAAATTAATTTTAATTAAAATAATATTATTAATAAAACCTTGCTTGTCAAAAAAAATAAAAATAAAACCTTATCCAAACTAAGGTTTAAATCTAACCATGGTAAACGTAAACTCCCAACCATCTCTCTTCCATCTCTTTCTCTTTCCCTTTCTCTCTCCTCTCATCTTTTTCTCCTCCGTTTTTTCTCTCTCTTACCTGAGTAGTGTGCGTTCACATTCTTCAACCTCCTCATATATTTATTTTTCTGCCATTATTCTGGTGAGTCAACTCATTTTTGTTTTTCACCTTTTTTTTTTCCCCTTTCTTATGATCTGAAATTTTGCATTTTTTTTCATTTTTTCCTCTTTAATTTGGGTTAATTTATTATTGATTTTATTTTTTAAAATAATTGATGAGTAAAATTAGTGAACTTTTTGAATACCCAGATCGTTTTTGTTTTCTGGGTTTCCCTTTGATTTGGTTTTTGGGTGTTATTTTTTAAGGAGTATAATTTTTTATAGAGGCGTGAAGGGTAGTGATGTTGATGGGATTTAATTCGAGGTCTAGAATTATACTGACCCAAAATTTTTACCAACTAAACTAGTTGACAATTTGACATTCGCATTTGTTTTAGACATTGGTGTGTTTGTTCATGATTTGTGTTTTGGTATCAGACTAGATTTATCATTACTTGGTTTTTGTATTAATTAAATTGTCTTATTTATAGCTATGTTAATTAACTTAGTTCATAAAGGAATATGGAATTTTGATGCTGCTTTGTCTGAGTATTAATAATAGCCTCTTTATATTTGTTTGGTAATTTGACATTTTTTTTTGGATTTATTAGTGATAAGTTAGGAAAATTTTAGTTTTTGAAGTATTGATTTAATAGGTCACTGTCAACATGAAAATATCCATTGACCAAAAATATAAAAACATAAAAAATAGGGTGGTTCTAGGGATTTTGCTGCAATGACTAATGGTGAAGGAGTGTTCTAGAATATTGGGTATCAAAAGCTTCAACTACTTTTTCTAATTCATGGGGCTATTTAATTTTCCTCTATAATAATTTACATTTAATGAAGAGGGTTTAGGTTTTGTTGAGTTTGGGGTAGGAAAGTTTTGAAATTTTGTCTGAAGGTTGAAGTTAAGTTTAGCAATGTCTTATATTTTCCATTTCACATAGAGTACTCATCCAAGGTGGGTGGAACTGGACATATAATATGACACCCGGGAACTCGAGAAACTTGACTTAATAAGAAGCTAAAAAGATTACAGAAAAACTGATCCTGAAAGTAGTTATATCTGATCTTTTTATTACAGATTTTGAGTGTATAGAAATCGTATGTGGATCTTTTTTCAGCCTGTAGCTTCTTATAACGTTCATTGGTACCAAGTTGTGCTTAGTTGGTACCATCCTAGTTCCCAAATGCTTCTTCATTAGTACCAACAAGTACAAAAAATAGAAATTTCAAGTTTTGTTGGTATCAATCGACTTTTTATTTATTTATTTATTTATTTTTTATTGGATTAAGATGGGTACCATCTAATCACAACTTAGAGTTATTCATGACTCAAGCTGTTATATATGCTGAGAAATTCTCATCTCATGTGCTCATCATTTGGTGACCTAACCCTGTATGAATTTATAATTATTCCTTTATTCTTTCCAAACCTTGTAGAATTAAGTAGCTTTTTGATGGCCTGATGAAGATTTTGTGAATGTCTTTTAAGTTCGTTATTCACTGTCTTTTTTTTGTGTTTACTTTTGTGTGGTTCTGGTGCTGTGTTGTATTTCCCGCATACTCCTATGTTTATTATGTTGCATGTATTCAATATGCATCTGTTGCTGAAGTGGGGGTGGCGTAGTTTGATCTTATTTTTATATACTGTAGGATATATTTGTGATCTCTAAAAGATTTAACTAGAATGCTGTGCAAGTCTGCTTAACTGAAAATCTTTTGTTGGTATTTCAATGATCTCTCTTTTTATTTATCTTTTATTTTAATTATATATTTATTAATTAATAAACTTTTCCAATTTGAGCTCCCTAGAACTTGTACATGTTAGCGGAAGGGAAAATGTCAATGTCAAACTATATTTTACATGGGAAGCACTCCACACAAATTTATAGGGAAAAAGTCACCAACTGTCACATTGTCACTAACTAGTTAACAAGAACTAGCAACGCTCACAACGTTCCTTTGAGATACAACCCATCCCTCTCAAGAACTCTAATCTGGTAACCTAAGTGTTTGTGATCTCTTCTTGCTGTTCTGCAATGAAAAGTGATACCCATGATCCCTTTATATAGTATATGGAGTCATACCCCTACACCAAAGTTGTTAATATTTTAAACTCTAACTATATCTAGGATACAAAAGTTATTAGAAAAACTTATTATTATATAAAATGATTACAATTAAATAGGAATATGAATACTAGAGTCTTAAATCAACCAAGGTAAGAAGACTAAGTTACTTGCTATCAAAACCCTCAAACTGCCACCTTCTTGTACCACGTACAGGCAATACTTGTGTTCGTGATAGTGCCACCAAGCCTTTGCTTTGCTTACTTTGTTCCTTCATAACCAAATCTGAAACCCACCACATGTCTTGAGACCCCACTAATCACGTTGGACAAGTTGGGCTTGCCATATTTAACAGTACATTAGTGTTGGCACTTGGCTGAGTCAAGCTTTGTGCAAAGTAGACCTTCTACGAAAGTACAAAGTTCCAATTACACATACGAAGTTTTAGTGATCTTGAACATGAGTTATTTTTTTTTTTTAATATTGATTTCCCTGTGGTTAATCTTTGTGGACCATCGTGGCATCCATTGACTGCATACTGAATGATAGTACTTCGTATATATATATGTTTAGTGATTGAGTTTTGATTATACTGTCACTTATAAAGTTTTATCCTACTTGAGGTATCATCGCATAGCATAGGTAATTATCAATTTCAAAGTTACCTCTTCATATGAAGTTGTCCCTTAAAAAGGTTTGGATTATTGCTTTCTCCAGTTTAGGCTTATTAGGTAGCAAAGGAATTGTATTAATATTTTCTTCATCCCATCTTGTTTGCCATATTGAGGCTTTGTTACTTTTTTTAATTTTTGGCTGCTTAAGAGTTAGTTGAGATTGGGTATCGGTGGGACCAAATTTAGTGAGTGTGAGAGTAAAGTGGTGGTTTCTCAGAGTCATTAATAGAATGAGGCGATGTCAAAGAGACAGGCCAAAAAGAAAACTGATGTGAGCAAAAGGGGATGGAGGGAGTAGCAATATCCTATTGACCCAGTCTATGATGTATAATCTAATGGCTTGTCAATCTTCCAAGTTTCTGGATGTTGTTACCAAGGATTGCTGAAAATATGTTAAATCATATTCCGTATATATATTTGTTTGTGTATCGTTTAGTTGCTGCAAGTAATTTTCCGATGTTGCCTATGTAGGGGAAGAGGCAGGAAAATGGGGTAGAGGAAGGGTTTTTTTTTGGTCACTATCTTAGCAATTCTGCTCTTATTGTCTGTCAACATTTCATGTTTTATTTAATCGATTTATTTTTTCCAATGATCAGATAACCTGTATGGTCAAGCTGTTTGACAAGAGCTACTATTATCCATGGGATCAAAATCATATGGAAACTTGCTGGGCCTAGTCTCTGGTGATCTACTGGATATCCCATGTACCACTAGAACTCTTCCAAGGGTTATGACTGTTCCTGGGATTATCTCTGACTTGGATGGCCGTGAAAGTAGTGATGAAGATACAGAGGCTTCAATTGTTCGTGAGAGAATAATTGTTGTTGCTAATATGCTGCCTCTCCATGCCTCTAGGGATCTGGAAACTGGAAAGTGGCGTTTTACTGTAGATGAGGATTTAATTCTGTTACAGTTGAAAAATGGATTGCCACCCAATACTGAAATTATCTACATTGGTTCTCTGAAGGCTGATGTTGATATCAATGAGCAGGATGAGGTTTCACAGAAGCTTTTCAAGGAATTTAAATGTGTTCCTACTTTTCTGCCCCAGGACCTCCAGAAGAAATTCTATCATGGGTACTGTAAGCAGTACCTGTGGCCACTATTTCATTATATGCTACCCATGTGCCCTGACCACGGTGATCGTTTTGATCGCTCACTCTGGCAGGCATATGTTTCTGCTAATAAAATATTTGCTGATAAAGTAATGGAAGTCATAAACCCTGAGGATGATTATGTATGGGTGCATGATTATCATCTCATGATCCTACCTACTTTTTTAAGGAAACGATTCTATCGAGTTAAGCTGGGATTTTTCTTGCATAGCCCATTCCCTTCGTCGGAAATTTACCGAACCTTGCCTGTAAGGGATGAAATCTTGAGAGGCCTGCTGAATTGTGATTTAGTTGGTTTTCATACCTTTGATTATGCCAGGCATTTCCTGTCATGCTGCAGTAGGATGCTCGGATTGGACTATGCATCAAAGCGAGGGCATATTGGATTGGATTACTTTGGTCGCACTGTTTTCATTAAAATCTTGCCTGTCGGTATCCATGTTGGTCGGATAGAATCTGCTTTGAATCTTCCGTGCACATCAGTCAAAGTTAAAGAAATTCAAGAACAGTTCAAAGGGAAAAAAGTGATAGTTGGGATTGATGATATGGATATATTTAAAGGAATCAGTCTGAAGTTATTGGCCATAGAGCAACTGCTGCTTCAGAATCCAGAGTTCCAGGGAAAGTTGGTCCTTATTCAAATCATTAATCCTGCCCGAAGTTCAGGAAAGGATGTACAGGAAGCAAAGAGGGAGACCTATCTGATTGCAAGAAGGATCAATGAGATGTATGGTTCTCCAAGTTATGAGCCTGTAGTTATTATTGATCGCCCTGTTCCTCGTTTTGAGAAGTCAGCATATTATGCTTTAGCTGAATGCTGCCTAGTGAATGCTGTTAGGGATGGAATGAATCTGGTTCCATACAAGTATATTGTCTGCAGGCAAGGAACACCTGCTTTAGATGAAGCTTTGGGCATAAAATCAGACACTCCTCACACAAGCATGCTTGTAGTCTCGGAATTTGTAGGATGCTCTCCTTCACTCAGTGGTGCGATCAGAGTGAACCCATGGGATATTGATGCTGTTGCCGAAGCCTTGAATATGGCTCTTACGATGCCAGCTACTGAGAAACAATTACGACACGAAAAACATTATCGATATGTTAGCTCTCATGACGTGGCTTATTGGGCACGCAGCTTTGTGCAGGATCTGGAAAGAGCATGCCAAAACCATTATAATAAGCGGTGTTGGGGATTTGGTTTAGGGCTAGGTTTCAGAGTTGTCTCTCTTTCGCCAAATTTCAGGAAGCTGAATGTTGACTTTGTTGCCTCAGCGTATAAGAGGACCACTAAACGAGTGATATTTCTTGATTATGATGGCACTATTGTGCCACAAACAAGTATGAACAAGTGTCCAAGTCCTGAAGTTATCTCTGTCTTGAATGCTCTTTGCAATGATCCCAAAAACACAATATTCATCGTCAGCGGTAGAGGAAAAGCTCAACTAAGTGAATGGCTCAGCCCATGTCAGTTGTTGGGGATAGCTGCTGAGCATGGGTACTTCTTACGGTAAGTTGACTATGTACAATTTTAAATTATGATATTCCTGAGGTATAAGTCAATTTTTTCATAGTGACTGACAACGATGATGGAGGATGAACCTGGGCTTCAGCTATGCTGTAGTAGATATTGTGAAGGGTAGAAGATGTCTTTAAGAAGTGGAGGACGAATATGAGCGTAGAAGAGAGTAAGGGCAAAACACTATTAGAGGGAGTAAAAAAGATTGTTCATAAAGAAGTTAATTGCCGACAAATGTGAACATACTGTAATAAGTCAATAACATTTGATTGTCTTTAGAATGGCTAATACTGTAGTAGATTACTAGATTTATATTTGGAGTAGTTTTGATTTTCATAAATGTACTTGAACTATCCACGAATTAGTTGTACACAATAGCTCCCCAGTTGTAGATATTTCTTGTCTTGCTTTAACTTTTTCTTTTTTCTTGCAGGTCGAATAAAGCTGCTGATTGGGAATCTAATACTGCAGAGCTTGATTGGAAAGACATTGTTGAACCTATCATGAGATCGTATACTGAGGCAACAGATGGATCCAGCATAGAGAGTAAAGAAAGTGCCTTAGTGTGGCACCATCAAGATGCAGATCCTGACTTTGGGTCCTGGCAAGCAATGGAGTTAATGGACCATCTTGAAAATGTGCTTGCCAATGAACCAGCTGTTGTTGCCAGGGGTCACAACATTGTTGAAGTTAAGCCACAGGTAATTTGTTAGTTTACTCTCCTTCCTTTTTGTTCCCTTTTGCCACTCCATATCCCAATCGGTCTGTCTGATTTTAGCAGGGTGTTAGCAAGGGGCTTGTTGTTGAGAAAGTTATAACAACGTTAATCGATGATGGAAAACGACCAGATTTTCTTGTGTGCATTGGGGACGACAGATCTGATGAAGACATGTTTGAAAGCTTGTTGAAGTTCTCAGGTTCATCTTTACCTGGGCTTCCTGAGGTCTTCTGCTGCACGGTTGGGCAAAAGCCTAGCAAAGCGAAGTACTATCTTGATGATACATCTGATGTCTTACGGCTGCTGGGCGGCCTAGCAGCTGCTGCCTCAACTCAAAAACCTCGGTATAATCCTCATGCTCAAGTCTCGTTTGAAAGTACGTTCTAGTAGGCCTATGTGTGCTTATAGTTATAGATCCGCCCAGTGTGTCTACGCCAGAAAATATGTTTTCACAGGATTCCTTCTTTACTCGACTCCTGTGATCTCGCGGGATTTCAAATCTTTTGAACACATTAAAACATTGGGAAATTGTACATGGTGACAGTAGTGTAGTTCTCCGACAGGAAGGTTCCTTTGATGCAGATCGTCATACAACTGTGGTTGCTTTAAATTGCACCAGATTCCACCCATCAATTTGTACAAAAATCAGTTTGATGTCAAGGTTCCCTTATTGTCTCTAACAAAGTGATTTGGATGATCATGAACAAAAATCATAGGGATATCCGACTTGATCTTACATGGAGGTCAACAGGATACTTGTTGCTAACAAAAAAAGCTTAGGCGGACATAAGCGGCTTCTTCTACACCCCGTTGAATCAAAATTCGGAAAAAAGAGTGAGTTTCTGTGTATTACTTCGTCATATGCTAACTGTTATTGGAAATGGGCTTGTATGTTTTGCCCTTGTAAATGTCTTTGTATACATGGACAACCCATGGAGTAGTAGAAAACCGGCTATTGTTGTTCTTTATAATATAAAATCGATTGTTTCTTTTTTGGTTGAATTTTCTACGTATTATAATCTAAAAATGGTTGAGCAAGTTGTGCAGTGAACTGTGACAAAGATGAAGCATTTGGTTGTGCGAGTGTATGATAGATGTTAAGCGTAGGCAGGTCCACATGAGGAAATATACATTATGCCTCACTTGTAGGCTGCACATGGTGTTGTGATGGAGATGGAGATAGCTAGCATTTCTTGTCTGTTTATGATTTATACAATTGATACATGGGTGTAATGAAAATGACCTCCCCCCCTTTTTTTTTTTGGGTCACAAGAACCTAGGCTAGACATTAACCATTACTCCCTCCGTCCCTTTATTAGATGTCTATTTTTAGCACTTATTACTTACATAATAAAGAGAAGTAGGCATCTAATTAAGGGACGGAGGGAGTACTGTTTTAGATGGTCTAGTGTTCGTGGGTCAGTGGGGATAGGTAGGAGATTATTGCATCTAAGAATCCTCAATTGGCGCAATGTTGCCGGACACTTGAAAGTAAGGAAGGAGGTAAGGGAATTATTGCATTTATGGTAGAGAGATGTCGCTTGACTACTCGTAGACCTCAGCACTCACGTTTTTGGTCTTGTATCTGCGAGCTAGACCACTTTGAACTAGGGGAAACAATAAGGAGATTCCCATTCGAATGACCACCTTCAAGGCTCAAGCATCCTCATAAGATTGGAATCATAAACCTTTAGGTAATTAATGTTATTACACAGATTTACAAGTTTTATCCAGTGATTCAAACACTGCTTGGTAGGTAATATGGGGTTATGCTTGGTTGGAAGAAAATTATATTTCTATTAAATCTACTTTATCCACTTTCCTTTATCTATATGACCATATGGTTTGAATGATTTTTAGCTTTTAATGAAAGAATGTGACATTTTCCTGATATCTTCCCCATCCCACACCAACCTCCTTGCTTGCATATTCCCTTTGACAAGGAACCACATAAGGAGGGTACTATATTTACGGAACATGTTTGGAAGACCCTATAGAGTTATTATTGATGTGTCTTCCAAGTATTATATTTACGGAACATGTTATATGCAACACCTTTACAAAAGAATAACTAAACAAAGATCGAGAGTAACTAAGCTTTAATTATGTATATCTACACATATTTTTGCATATTCATTCCAAAATTATATTGTACCATTTTAGAATTGTATACTTGGCACAACATTACCTTGTTTGTATTCCTAGATTTATTCAAAACATACGCTAAGAATATTGCTAGTATTTTACAATTCATCTTAATCCCACTACTTTTGGACACAAGCTTTGGATAATTTATATGGGGATAATGGTGACATCGATTATTACTTGTTTCAATTTAATTGGTTGATATGCAAAAGCAATATGAGAATCAGAGTTCATGTAAGTATACTATTACTTGGACTGGACTGTTATTTTGGATGTATTTGTATCATTCTGATCTTGCTAGATTACAATAACTCCCTTATTAGAGAAACTCCATTCTTTTCCTTCACCATCGTCATTTTGAGTTTGGATGGAAAGAATGTTAGTTTAAAATCAAGTGTTAAACTTTATAATGTACTCCCTCTGTTTCTTTTATGTTCCCACGTTTTTTACTTTAGCGCTTTTTATAGATTTTCTTTGAACATCATTCGTGATATACAGAGTATACGTAATGAAAAATATAGTTATATGAGGTCTTATTATACAAAGAATTTATCTTGATATTAATAGATGAATATATGAATGGATAAGTTAAACATGACTAAATAACGTATCGCCTAAAATGAAGTGGAAGAAGTATTATGTTTAATTCTCCTTCACAAGTACAGAAGGAGAAACTAGACAAGTATAATTCATATATAACTTTTACGGAATCCCAAATGTGAATTAAACGCTATAATTCTTAAAATTTCGTCCAACCTATCAACTTAATCTTTAACAATTATATCTGTGCTAATGCACGTGATCATTCTAAGATTATTTCTATACAACTTCATGTTATTCTTATGTAAGACAAGTATATTTAATGGTTCCAAAAACTCTATACCACACTTCACAACAAATTAGTAGGATGGACATTTGCTCAACTCTCCTTCATAATTTCAGTTGCATGAAAATCTAGGATGGACATTAGCTCAACTCTCCTTCATAATGCTTTGCTTTAGATCGATTCGAAAATTATTTTGAAAAGTATAAGGACTTTTATGGTATTTTAATCATAAAGCTGTTAGAATACTGTATATACCATGCCTATAATATTATGTAATCAAACTCCTGGTTTACAGGAAGGTCTTTAGGATAGCAAGTATGGGACTCCATATTGCAGCATAGTTGTCCACATTCTCAGGAGCTTTTTTTAGGAAAAACAGTATGGCTCAGCATGGCTAGTCTCTTGTATATATACTCTTCAATATCAAATCAACATACACATAAGAAAATTAAAAACACCAAAAATCTGTCAACTTTTATCTTGGTATCAGAGCCGGGTTCCGATCTCCGACGACCGGCAACCATCGGTTTCATCATATACCATGGAATCCGAAAAACAAACCATAGTGCCAAAATCAGTCACTATGGACGATCTATTGCAACTAGTTACACAGTTATACACCAATAGATCAACCTCAGAAACCTCAAACCAAGCCATCCAAATTTCCGAAAAATTAAACCACAGTAATTATACTAAGTGGTCAAAGCTAATGCAACTAGCGATTGGTGGACGGGGAAGGCTCAACCACATCGCGGCCGTTCCACCGTCACCAACCGACCCAGAGATTGTTAAATGGACTCAAAGGGACTCTATTGTCATATCATGGATAATTGACAATATTGAACCAGAATTACAGAATCAATATCTCGATTATCCAACAGCAAACGAGTTATGGAAGAGCATCGAAATAATGTACGGAAGCGGCAGGGATGGTTTACAGATTTTTGATCTTATGACCAAAGCGAACAAAATCCAGCAAGGGTCAGACGCAATAGAGGTGTATTACAGTAAACTCACCTCAATTTGGAAAGAAATAGATCGGAGATTGCCAAACCCTATGAAATGCTCAGAAGATAAAATGGTTTACAACCGTATGGCGCAACAAAACCGCCTCTATCAGTTTCTTGCGGGACTCGATGAGGCTCTTGATAAAGATCGGAGAGATCTGATTAATTCAGACCCTCTTCCAACAATTGAAGTAGCATATGCAACAATCAGGAGAGAGATTTCTCGAAAGGAAATCATGAAAAAGGAAAAAACCCCAACTGAAGACTCCGAAATTGGTAGTGGACTTGCGGCTAGAGGAAAACCAGAAAAACCGAAGTTCCGGCGGGACGATGAGCGAACACACCTCCGGTGTACCCACTGCGGGGGAACCCGACATACAAAGGAGGGTTGCTTCAAACTCATAGGGTACCCGGAGTGGTGGTCTGAACGGAAGAAAAAGGGGGAAAATCAAAGAAGCGGGTAAGCAACCTATGCCGGTGAGTCGTCGGCCGGAGAGAAAGAAGAAGGGGGACTTGCGGCTGCCATTGTTAGCACAGGTATGGAAACTGGAAAAGAAAGGAAGGAAGGTAATGAAATCCTAATCTCCTTGTCTTATAATCAGCCCACTTACTCTTATATACCTAAGCTCAATTATGTGCCTCCTTATAAGCTTTCTCAGCCTAATTATGTGTCTAAGCCCATTCACATTAAATCAGACCCATCAAACACATGTATAACCCAGTTTATTTGTGATCCTAAAGAAAAAAATCAAGGGCCTAATACGGAACCGGTATTTGGGCTCCTTGGAAAGTGTAAAGAAAAAAGTGATAAAAAATGGATTTTAGACTGTGGTGCAACGGACAATATGACATATGATATCTCTGATCTGGAAGATCTGATTGAACCTACAAAAAATTTTGTTCAAACCGCAAGTGGAGAAAAAATCAAAGTAGAGAGATCAGGAACAATCAAATTGCTGGGTGACATCAAACTATTCAACTGTCTCTTTATTACACATTTATCTCATAAACTTCTTTCAGTTAGTCAACTGACTAAGGAGTTGAATTGTACTGTTCTAATAACATCTAATGGGTGTCTTGTGCAGGATTCTCAGACAGGGAGGATCATTGGGCGTGGTACTGAGGAGAATGGGTTGTATTATGTTGATCAGGTGCCTCAAAGTGGTTGTGCAACTTTTGTTCGCGGATCGGTTGAGCATCAACTCTGGACGTGGCATCGCCGACTGGGTCATCCATCTTTAGGGTATTTAAAAAAATTGTTTCCTTCCCTTGTTAATGCAAAATTAAATTTTTATTGTGAGGCATGTATGTTAGCAAAAAGTCACAAACATTATTATCCTAGTAGCACTACCCGAACCGAAAAACCTTTTGTTTTGATTCATTCTGATGTGTGGGGACCTGCCCCAAAGTTTAGTAAACATGGTTTTCAGTATTATGTAACTTTTATTGATGATTGCACTAGGATGAGTTGGATATATTTCTTGAAAAACAAATTTGATGTTTGTGATACTTTTATCTCTTTTTACAAAATGGCCCAAACACAATTCCAGACACAAATCCGAATTTTAAGATCTGATAATGGAGGGGAATACAAAGACCATGAGCTTGAAACCTTTATAAATGCAAATGGCCTAATTCACCAAACCACCTGTCCGGATACACCACAGCAAAATGGTGTAGCCGAACGGAAAAATCGAACACTCTTAGAAATGACCCGAGCAATGATATTTGAATCAAAAGTTCCCTATTCTTTTTGGCCTGAAGCCATAGCTACAACAAATTACCTTACAAACCGACTTCCTACAAAAAGCCTTGACCTAGCTACTCCCATAGACACTCTTAAAACTCATACGAGTATTCCCCCTACTCACTCGATAGCTCCTCGCGTCTTTGGTTGTATAGTCTATGTCCATCTTCCTAAACGTAGTCGGGATAAGTTATCCCCTCGTGCCATTAAATGTGTCTTTGTGAGATATGGTGTGCATCAAAAGGGATATCGATGTTTTGACCTAGTCACAAACCGA